ATTATTATGCTGATGTACACAGTTCTGATGTTATAACTGGCTTGTTCTTGATGTTTCTTGAAATCGGATCAATACCCATGATCTTAGATCTCGAGAATATTTCTCAACACTCTTGCAGTTCCTAAAAGTACATATTTTTATATTAGTTTTATCTGCGTCTTGACTCCAATTTCCTTGATGAAGTTGCTCAAATTTCCTGTTACTGTTCCAAGGGCTCCCAAGACAATAGGAATAACTTTTGCTTTCACTTTCCATAATCTTTCCACTTCTCTCTTTAATTCGTCATACTTTTCGATTTTCTCCATCTCTTTTTCAGCTATTCTCACATCTCCCGGGACTGCAACATCAATGATGTAACACTTCCTTTCTTTCTTATTGACAACCACTATGTCAGGTCTCCTTGCCTTGATTTCATTGTCTGTTTGAATATTGACATCCCATAGAATCTTTACATTTGTTGTTTCTACCACTCCATCTGGTTGATGTTCGTACCATTTATTTCCACAATCTATGTCATACAGGCGACAGACATCCCAATGGAGGGCTTTCGCTACACAGTCATGTCTACGTTTATACTCTCTCTGTGCCAGTTGTGGGCATTCACTGACAATGTGGCTTACTGTTTCCTCGTTCTGATTGCACATTCTACATTTACACCTTCTGCGTCTTGTCGATGTTTGCTTTAATTGTATTTGTTCGCAATGACTGGGTCTGCGCCGCCATTATCAGTCCTTCAGTCTTCTTTTTCAATTCCCCGTCCCGGAGCCATCCCCATGACTCTGGGTCATTTATTTCTCTTGTCTGCCTGAAAAACTGTCCATGCAACGCCTTTTCTTGTAGCTCTGATCGCCTCTTTTCTTCGCTTCTTGAAATCTTTCTCTGACACTCTTTCTCCTGCCTCGCATCTCACTGATGACAATATCCTCTCTTTGCTATCCTGAACATGGTTTTCAAGCCCCAAAATTGCGAGCTGGACACAATCCTCAATTTCTACAAGTCCTCGTCCTCCTTCTTTACGGGGTAGGTAGAGTCTTGCTACACTATCTCTGGGATGCAGTGATCTGTACATATTCATCATTTTACGAGTATCCCGATCTATTTCTTTCAGCTCATCCTTTCAGCTCTTCGTCAACGAAAGGTGCCGTGTATCTCATCATTGAAACAGCCCAAGTGTTTATGGCAGTTATCATATTGCCTCCATCAAGCTTAGATTTCAGAAACTTTTTCACTCTTCTCTTATATTCTTTCTTTAGACTTTCTTTCATCTTTTCACCTAATACTTGATCAGCTTCCATAACTCCAAGGTATTTATAACCATTTTCCTCGTGTATAGACCTAATGATTTCCTTATTTGGTAAGTCAATGCCATTAGACTCGACTACTTTCCCTCGCTTCATAACCAACACTGCACATTTTTCTACTCCAAATTCCATACCTATATCATTACTAACAACTCTGACAGACTATATCAATGCATCTAGTCCACTTTCATTCTTCGCATAAAGTTTGATGTCATCCATGAACATTAAATGATTTATCTGCTCTCCATTTGAACTGAATTTATAGGACGCTTTCATTTTACGCAGTACTAACGTTAGTGGTATCATAGCAATCACAAACATTAATGGTGATAAACTGTCTCCTTGGAAAATTCCTCTGGCAAATTTTACCTCACCAATCGCTTCCCCACAAGATGTCAACATGGTGCTCCATTCCTTCATACTGTTGGTCAGCAAATTTTTTACATTCTCTGCAGCTCCAAACATGTTCAAACATTCCTTCAACCATGAAGGTGGGATTAGATCATAAGCTTTTCTATAATCCAGCCAGCCCATTGCAATATTCCTCTTTCTTTGCTTCACTTCCTTCATGATTTTCTTGTAAATATACAATTGGTCTAAGCACCCCCTACATCCTTTCCTCGATCCCTTTTGTTCTTCTGGTAATACATTCTTAGCCTCCATAAAAGAATAAATCTCACCTGCCAATATTCCTGTCAACAATTTCCAGCACATAGCGAGACACGTTATTGAACGATAATTACTAGGCACCCTTCCTTTTTCTGGATCTTTGACTATCAAAACTGTTCTTCCTTTAGTCATCCATTTTGGTACATTTCCTTTCCTCAAGCACTCGTTGAGCTGCAATGTAATTCTCCCATGCAGATTAGTAAATCTTTTCAACCAGAAGCCCTGAATTAAGTCAGGTCCTGGTGATTTCCAATTTGGCATTTTATTAACAACCTTTTCTACCTTTTCCCTGGTTATCACAACATCATTTTGCCTGTCAATTTTAATTTCCTCCTTCAAGTCCTGCAGCCATTCTGCGTTTTCATTGTGCCGTGTTGGTTTACTCCATATATCCTTCCAAAATTCCATAGTTTCTTCCTTTTCAGGTCGTACTTCATTTCTCTCTCCGCCATTCAATTCATCATAGAACCGACTTTGGTTTTCCCGAAACAGTCGATTCTTTCTAAATTATCTATTCTAGCTTGATATCTTGTAATTTTTTCCTGATTTAGCTGAAATCCTTTGTTTTAGTTCTTCACTTACTGTTATGAGACCCTTTTCTTTTAACCAATACTTTCTCTGTAGCTGTTCTTGAAATCTTGTTATAATTGTCTTCCCTTTTCTTAACTCTTCAACTCGGCTTAGATCTTTCCTCAAGTATTTTACTTGCTTCTGCAACCCTCTTTTCCACATAGATTCTCCCTGACTCTTCTTTCTAGTGATCTTTACACCTAATCTCTCAGTTGTAACAGCTGATGCTGCATATAACAAATCATTGGTCGCAGTGATATTTTCGCTTCTTTTTTTACCCAGCAAGTTATTCATCTTTTCAACTTCTATTTTGACAGAACTTTTATTTAGACCTCTCAGAGCAGGTAGCTTTGTCCTTTCAGGTTGGTGTAGTAGTGAAAAAAGCCTCTCAGCAATCGCTACTTCCTCGTCTGAAAATTCCTCATCGTCAAAATTTCTAGCATCATTTTCAGCTGCTCCTGTCTCATTATTCTGCTGTACAGTATCATCATATTCTATTTGTATATCTTCGCGTCTGTTGTTAGCATCGCTTTCCACACTTTCACCCTGGCTTTCATCGTCACCTCTGTTGCTTTCAATTGTTATCTGTCTCTTGATCTCCTCCATCTCTAACTCTGTTATCCAACCCTTCAGTCTTATTTGCCTAACTTGGTCTAGAAGTCTTTGCTCTGATACCTGAGCAAGATTTCTACTTCTCCAGATATTTACCATACGTTTCCGGTAACCCCTCTTGTTTGGCTCGCTCGCGACATAGCACTCCATCACTGTTCTGTTATCTTCTCTTGTCCAATGATTTCTAGTTCTACTCCTCACAGTTGATTCCGCAGTAGCATGATATCGACCGAGGCTGGCCTGCGTAGCACCACCACCCCTGCCGGACGCGACAGCTTCACCTGTGGATCCACTCCTGTTGACGTCGTTCTCTATGTTATTTTCAGAATTAATCATCATTTTCTTTTGAAGATGAGGTTGTGGTTTTGCATCACCAACAAAGCAGTATTTTCATCGTGACACCATCACTAGGGGGGTCGCCGACCAGGGCTGAAGAGTCCCCCCTACCCATGAGACAGACTAGCCCCCGCCGGACGCCAACCCGGTATTTCACGGCCTCGGGGAGAGCTAACAGGTAGTATACCTTGCTCAAGGGTGACCTGGAGGTAATAGAGAGTTTAAGCACAGGCGACGATAACGATACCGATAACGATAGAGTCTACTGTCATCGTTTCCGTTATCGTTGTGGTATAGGTACATTAACCCTATCCAGACTAGGGGGGCACAAAGTGCCCCCCTAGTTGGTTTTTCTTTCATAACTTCAGGAGTTTGAAAGCAATACCCCTCAGACCTCTTGACTTTTAGTTTTAACCTATCTGACACATGTTCATATAAAAAGATAATTTTTTTATTATTAATCAGGGGGTTGTGTAGGGGCGTTTTCAAAACTAGTCAAGTAAAAAATAGTTCAATCTGCCACGGATTCGCAACAAAAGTAGATATAATGATGGAAATTAGTATCTAGGCATTAATTTGTGCTCTTTTCATGATTCTGACCAGAAAATTCAAATTCAACATCCTTTTCTATGATTTTTCTGCTGCGCATGCGCACACATCTGTTGACAGATTTATAGGTATTACATTAATAAAACTGCAAGTTTAGAATAATTTGTCTGCTAAGGCATTAAAAATGAACTCAAACATGACATTTGGTTGTATCGATCATTTAGTTATATAGAAAAAACTATAGCCAAATATAAAATATGTTGAGTTCTTTTGTTAGGAACGTTAATAATTTTGAGAAGTAACATTAAAATTGTGTCAATCTTCTTGTTTCTATTAGAAAATTCATCAAATTTGCTTATTTTAATATCTTAGCCCGATGCTTTGGAATTAATGAATATTTTAAGATTTTCAAAAATTTTCTAAATTTTTGCTTCATCCGGCCACCATTATGATGACGTCATCGTGAAATCACGTGACTTAAAAATTGAACAATAATACTAAAATGTGGAGAAAAGATAAGAGTACCATCCAAACAAAGTTCATTGTCCTAGCTAGAGGAACAAAGAAATTACGGAGGGGGGCACTTTGTGCCCCCCCCCCTAGTCTCCCGAAAGTTTCAAAAAGCCTAGTCTGGATAGGGTTAAGCATGGACACCCGTAGGGGGCTGCAACTCTACCGCATGACACACTTCCTTGTTTGGCACGGAAGTCTAGTTTTGAATGCCCCACAAATGTTAAAAATTGTTTAGCTAAATAAAATATGACCGTAAAAATGTTAATTAAGTTCTTGCTGTCACACACAGCTTTGATGTTATCAATGACGAATATCTTCCTCTTCTGTTGGAATTACAAAAAGGCCTAAATTTAATCTGAAAGTTACATACTCTATGTTTGCACTATGAGATAACTGATACCGAAAAAGTTCCGATTTGAGAAAATAGATTTTCAATTTAAATGAATGAATTTATTTCAAACGTAGAGTTATTATGTACAAAATACTACACAGTTAACAAGAGGAAAAGCACGAGCGTTTCTTCCTCCTTTTCTGCACAGCCTTCCTTCTTCCAGCCCTCGTCTACCAAAATTTTTTGCTGCTAGGTCATCTCGCATTAAAGCTCATCTCATCTTGGGCAAATGACAGTCATTTAAAATGTCCACTAAAACCTTGAAAAAATTTGAGAGATGGTGAATACACGTTCCAGCCAAAACACGAACAATCTTTTTCTCAACCTTGGTAGTTTAAGGTCGAAACCCTCAGAAAATAACGACCTTGGTCGCTTGACACAAATTTTAAAGAATTTGTTTAATATTAGAGTAATAAAAAAGTTTAAGTTCTCAATCTTTGTTACCGAATTTGCAGAATTTTTATTGAATTTCATAGCTGCAGCCTATGTGAATCTTTACAATATAGGTAGGCCCAATTCCATCATGAAAATGAAATTATGAATCGCTTTAAACAAACAAGAGAAACAAACAACTCACCCGCATGACTTGAGACTTGATAATGCAGTGGCTGATGAAGCCATTTCCAGTTGAAAATCCTCATAAAACTCAGCAAAATCCGTCACTGAATCCTATCGTTGTCGCAGAACGATACATCAGATTTCTATCGTACTAGAACCATGAGTGAGAACGATAACGGAAGGGGATTATTATTATTTTTATTATTATTATTATTATTATTATTATTATTATCATTATTATTATTATTATTATTATTATTATTATGGCTAATTAAGTGATTCACAGAAACATAGATGTTAATTGGTCCGGATAATATAGGAGGGAGCAGTCAGCAACAAGCTGACAAAGGTCCCATTCTATCATCTCAAGTTTACATAGACAATGTCTGTCTCAAAATCCTGGCTGTTCCTAGCAGTGCTGTCTTTTGTATCACCTGTAACTTTACATCAATTCCGATCTTTTCCATGTGCTCTTCAAAACAATATGATATACACCCTAATGCCCCAATCACAACAGGGATGACTGTCACCTTCTTCATATTCCACAGATTTCCGATTTGCTCCTTTAATGGTTGATATTTCTCAATTTTTTCTTGTTCTTTACCTTTTACCCTATTATCACCAGGAATGGCAATATCGATTATCTTCACATCCTTTTTTTCCTTGTCAACGACAACAATGTCTGGCCTTCTAGCTTCAACAACCCTATCACATTGAATCATAAAATCCCACAGTAGCTTAAACTTGTGATTCTCTAAAACTCCTTCAGGTTTCTGTTCATACCATTTTGTGGCTCTTTCAAATCCGCACTTTTCCGCTAACAACCAATGAATATACCTTGCCACATTGTCGTGTCGTCTTTTATATTCTGTCTGTGCCAGTTTAGCACATTCGCTCACCAGATGACTAACTGTTTCTCCCTTGTCACCGCACATTCTACATAAAGGCGTATCACTTGTTTTATCAATGTAGTGCTTGGTATAATTAGTGCGCAGCGCCTGCTCCTGTGCACTACACACTAATGCTTCAGTGCACCCTTTCAGATCTCCGTTCCTTAACCATGACCAGCTTTTTTCCCAATCAATTCCGTCAGTATTCTTAGTAAATTGCCCATACATCGGCTTATCTTTCCATCGTTTCTCCAAGCGCCTTTTTGTCTCATTCTTATGTTCATTCGGTGCTACTGCCTCCTCAGTATTCATTGCCCCAAGGTCTCTCACTTTTGACATAATATTGCCTCTAGCATGCTTTACATACCAAGCCAGGCTGTTTGTCTCATTTTCAATACAATACTCACAACTTATCAGCCCCCTATCACCCTTTTTCCTGCTAACATAAATTCTTGCTACATCGCTTCTAGGATGAAGTTCTTTATTCATTGTCATTAATTTCCTGGTCCATACTTTCTAGCTCGTCTTTTCTCCATTTAATTATTCCTGCTCCATAGCGCATCAGGGAGATTGCCCAGGTATTTGTTGCTTTAATCTTATTCCTTCCATTGAGTTTTGACTGCATGACAAGTCTAACCCTTCTGAAATATTCTCTTTGAAATATTTTCTTCATGTCCTCTTCTTTTATTCTATCCAACTCTGTTATTCCCAGATACTTATATCCTTCTTCACCAACCTCCTTGATCTTTTCCCCATTGACAAGTTCAATCCCTGCACTTTCTGTTAATTTTCCCCTTCTTAAGGTCACAACACCACACTTTTTTATCCCAAATTCCATTCCTATATCTTGACTAATAAGGTTGACAGTAGATGTTAGACTGTCAATTTCATTCTCGTTTTTCGCGAACAACTTCAAGTCGTCCATGAACAACAGGTGATTGATCTTAACACCATCCAATGTATATCCCATTTTGACTTTTCTGAGGACTTCGGTAAGGGGTATCATGCAAATGACGAACAAAAGTGGTGATAGGCTGTCTCCTTGGAATATTCCTCTGCGAATGTTTACAAGCCCTAGAGTTTCCCTACACGATGTCAGTTGTACTTTCCAGTTGGTCATCGATCTTCCTATAAAGTTAACAACATTGCTGATACTCTATAGAGCCTTAGACATTCTATTATCCAGCTGTGGGGAACCATGTCGTAGGCTTTCTTATAGTCAACCCACGCCATGGCTAAGTTTTTATGCCTCCTTTTACAATCAGCAAGAATCGTCTTATCCACCAGAAGCTGATCCTTTGTACCCCTGCTATTTCTTTTACAGCCTTTTTGTTCTTCAGGTAACATCTCATTCTCATCCAAGAACGTGTAGAAATTTCCAGAGATGATTCCTGTCAACAGCTTCCACATTAATGGCAAGCAGGATATGGGTCTATAGTTATCCACTGCATTGCCATTTTTTGGATCCTTTTGACATAATTATTATTATTTCTATCAAATTTACGCAATGCCAAACTGTCTGTCGCAATGCCCTAAAATCTTCTCCTAATATTGACATTCAAACCCTATGGAAAAACACAAGTCATGGCACGAACCTACAGTACGACATCTATCGTAATACTAAAGAGGTATTAAAGGCTGTCAAATCAGACAACAAAGAACGTCTCTCCCAAAACTTACCATCTCAGGGAGCTACAATTACCTTCCTACTGAAACATTCACTGGAAAAGCTGAACGGTATTTGGTCAAGTACACAGAGCAATTTGCCTAGTAACATCTTTAACTTTACCATCAAGTATCTTAACAACACTCTTCCAACTCGTAAAAATCTGCTGAAATGGAACCTTAGTCAAACATCTGACTGTGAATTCTGTCTTCTTCCAGAAACACTTCTACACGTTGTTGCTGGATGCAAAGTGTACCTTGACCAAGGACGCTATACTTGGCGTCATAATTCTGCATTAAACTTTCTAGCCACTTCCTTCCAAGCAATAAATGGGTCTTCTCTCTACGCAGATTTACCAGGCTTTCTTTCCCCTTCTATCATAACTGGAGATCAACTACGCCCTGACTTACTTCTCAAAACTAAGGAAAACTGTCTGTACGTTTTAGAGCTAACCATAGGCTTTGAAACAAATCTCAACTGCAATGCTGTCAGAAAGTCAGGGAAATATGCCACCCTCGTATCTGACTTAAAACGTCAGTTTAAGTCAGTCTCGTTTGTCAATCTTCCATCAGTTCACTTGGTATTTTTGGCGACTCCTGCAGCTCATTCATCGACATGTGTGACTCTTTGTCCATTGATCATCAACAGAAACGCTACCTCATCTCCAAACTTACAAGCATCTCCATTCGCACCACATACTATATATTCTGCTGTAGAAACAAAACTTGGACTACACCCCTAATCCAGAGCTACACCCCTTTTAACATTTTTTTTCTCATTACTACGATGTAATAGTTTTTATTTTGTAAACACAGGCTAGCCAGTTACAAATTACCTTGTGATAGTGAGATTTGTAATTGTAGTTTTAACAGGAATTCAAAATGAAAAGTTTCCATTATTATTATTAATATTCACATCTTGCCTACGCGATTCGATGTTTGCATTTCTCTCCGCAAACATGTACATTGAACACAGAATTCAAAAAGGGTTTCTTCCAAGACTGTCTGGAACATTCGAACATACTGCACACATGGCTTCTATCATTAATAAAGCTCGAATCAAACAGCGAGCTGTCGTCATCACATTACTAGACCTAAAGAATGCTTTCGGTGAAGTCCATCACAATCTGATCCCAGCAGTTCTTCGCTATCACCACATCCCTGAGCACATTCAAAACATTATCTGCAGCCTTAACGCTAATTTTAAAACATCTATCATAACCGATACATTTCGTACCCCTTTTATACCGGTAGGCCGCGGTGTCCTTCAGGGTGATTGCCTTAGCCCATTAACCTTAAACCTTTGCTTTAATACTTTCATTCCTTATATCTCAGATAATAAATTCAACCAGTTCGGCTTCTATACAAACTCCTTAAACCCTGTCCATTGGTTTCAGTTCGCTGACGATGCGGCAGTGGTTACTGGTCAAGAAAACGAAAATCAAATTCTCTTAAACCACTTCTCTAGATGGTGCTCTTGGGCAAACATGCATATTCGGGTTGACAAGTGCTCAACATTTGGAATTAAAAAATCATCTACTTCATCTGTTCAGTTTCTACCCAAACCTATTGTCAATAAAAACATAGTTCCCACTGTTGAAAAAGACAAATCTTTTAAATATCTTGGTAGATACTTCAACTTTCCTATGGATAATAGTGATCATATGTCAGAACTATTGGAAACTGTCAACTCGTTAATGTCCAGTATCGACAAATTGTCGTGTCATCCAAAGAACAAAATTCTGTTATACCACCGATATGTGCTATCCAAAATTTCCTGGAACCTGACCATCGCTGATTTAAGCAAGACATGGGTGACAGAGAATCTAGACAATGTTTTTTCAAGCTTTGTTAGACAATGGCTCGAGCTGCCAATAAGTGCTTCACTAAGTTGCCTCGTCATTCCAAAATCGAAGTTTGGCATCAATCTCATTCTTCCATCTACCAAGTTCTTACAATGCCAAACAGTTATCCGCAACTCTTTAAGACTGTCCCCAAACCAAGAGATTCGCTCTTTATGGAAAGACTCTAGCACTGGTACAAACATACAATATGACGTTTATCGCAACACAAAACAAGTTCTCAAATCCATCCAAAGTGAACACGAAAACCGCATTGAAAACGTTCTTACATCTCAAGGATTTATTATCTCGTGCATCTTAAAATTTGCTTCTAAGGGAACTAATCAACTTTGGTCTAGTGTCCAGCAAAAGTTACCAAAAAACATTTACAACTTTACCATCAAATACCTAAACAACACTCTTGCCACTAGGAAAAACCTCTGCAAATGGTCAATTACTCAGTCATCTGCCTGCTCTTTCTGTCTCCAATCAGAATCATTACAGCACATAGTCTCTCGCTGCAAGAATTATCTTGAACATGGTAGGTATACCTGGAGACATGATTCTGTACTTCTATATTTGGCTAAAAACCTTTCAACACCTAGAAACAGCTCACTTTACGCCGACCTGCCTTCATTTCTATCTCCTTCTTTAATCACAGGCGACTCCTATCGACCAGATCTTGTCTTCGTAACTGAAGATCGAATCCTTTACATGCTAGAGCTTACTGTTGGGTTCGAAAGCAACATCGACGAAAACAGTACACGAAAAGCTAGGAAATATAGCGACCTTATCAAGGAACTGAGCCCTGCCTATAAACGTGTTACCTTTGTTAACCTTTCTATGAGTGCCCTTGGCATTCTGGGAACCTCATCTACCTCTCTCTCTGACATGCTACACCAACTTAATTTTGACTCAAATCAAACTAAATCCATCTTGATGAAACTCATGAACATTTCTATCCGCTGCACCTACTATATCTTCTGTCGTCGAAACAAACCATGGCTAAGCCTCGAACTAATTGACTTTTAAATATTGTAATGCAGATAAGCCAATTATATGATGCCTGTAAAAGCGAGTCGTATAATTGTAAATTTAAAATGTATTCAATGAAAATGAGATGTTTTAAAAAAAATTATTATTATTATTATTATTATTATTATTTTTTTTTATTTTTATTTATTACTGGCGATTCGTTCCGTCCCGACATGCTAATCAAAACTGCTTCCAACTGTCCGTATGTCATCGAATTAACTGTTGGGTTCGAGATAACGCTTCGCGTAAAGCTGAGAAGTACCGTTCCCTTCTAATGGAACTACGCCCTAAGTTCAAAAAAGTAAACTTTGTTAATCTTTCCATCAGCTGTCTCGGTATCTTTGGTAACTCCTGTGACTCTTTCATCGATATGTGTGACGAACTAAAACTTCACTACCAACACCGCAATTTTATAATTAAAAAACTGTCAGCAATAATTATACGCACATCCTATTATATATATTCTGTATGCGCAATAAGACTTGGACAAACCCTGAACTGCTCTCCTTCTAACGATTCTTTGCACTCATATGATTTTATTTGAATGTTATAACTTTTGTAAAATTAGTAAACTTGTTACCAGGCTAGCCGATAGTAACTACCTGTAAAGTGAGGTTACTGTTGTAAGTAGAAGAATATAAAATAAAAATGTTTTCATTATTATTATGGGTAAAAAACACCTTCTAAATCATCGAAAATTTATGTAATTAATAACACTTTCTACCTCGACAACAAGTGCTAACAATTCTTCAAAATGTAAAGTAGACCTACCAACACAGTGGCGGCTTGGGGCGGTATTACTGTTATTAGTCTAATAGCAATTCTTTTCCAGCAGAAAGTTTTCTTGACAGAATATTTCTTTATCATTTACAAAGCACGTCCTAAAAATCAGTTCACTCCGCTCTCAGTTTTGAGTGCATTCCGATAACAAGGTGAAAGGGCTTTATCAAAAACCGAATTGTTTCCGCTAATTCCTTTCAAGTAGACAGACACCTCAGATGCCATTCGTGACGTACCGCGTAAAGGCGGCTGGTGCCAATTGCCGCAACCACTACCCAGGAATGTTGCTATTCATTTCATGAACGTTAATAGCAACTTCCTAAAATGCCTTTGTTTGGTATGCATTTGCTTACGTCAAACAGCCGCCTCACGCGATACTGAATCACGCTATAAAAGTGGCCCTGCTATTCGCCGACCCATTTCTAATAGCAACTTTTCCGTACTGTTGGCATATCGTGTGCAAAATGAACCGTGCTCTTGATACTGGTTTTCATTGGGGTGTAGCGCAGATATTTTCTCTGCTTTCCTCGCAACGACAATTAACACACCAACAACGACTTCGTTTGAAAGCTGATGGTCGACCATGTCCGAAGGTGACTTTAAAAAACCGATCCTCTGATGTTGTGTATGAAAATTTTTCTTGGATATGCGGTGATCAAGAAAAAAATACTTACTTCTGTTGGCCATGCCTAGTGATGGGAGATCTTTCAAGAGTAAGTACTTGAAATAATTTGATATTTTCTTTAAACATTCGTCCTTTTAACTGCGCTTAACTTTCACTATACGTAATTATTAAGAAAAAAGTAACAATTCAGAATATCTCTTTGGAATTTTGTAGGATATATTTATTCCGTTTTATTTATCGTTTTGTATTTATAAGTTCTTTCTGTATCGTCGGAAATGATATCAACTTTAAAATGTCCTTTTTCAACCGTAAATTTACCTTCATGATTTTTGCTATTAGAAGTGGGGCCACTAATAGCAGCAAATATTGAGGCTACGGTCAGGTAGGCAGAGCCGTTCCTGTTTATTTGTCAAATTACACAATGAGATTTGTCAAAGGCA